GCGAAGGCGAAGGTCGGGCGCGATGGCGAAGGTCGGGCGCGAAGGCGGAGGTCGGGCGCGATGGCGGAGGTGGCCGTCGGCCGCGCGGGCAGGCTGCCGCCCGCGATGCCGAAACTTCCTCGGAAAGTTTGGCGGGAGGACGGGGCGCAGCGAGCGGGTGCTGCCGCGTGAACCGTGCCCGGCACGCAGGTACAGGACGCTCAGCGGATCCGTCCCCGGGCTGGCCATTTCGTTTGTCACCGTGGCCAGCGCGCGCTGTTGCCCCGGGCTCCCAGGCGATGCTGGGCTGAGCGCTGGCCTCCCGCTCCGCCGGGCTGGGGCTGTTGGTTAGCGTTTGCATCGTGCCCTGCCAAAGCTGCTGACAGCGAGAGCTGCGGGAGAGGGGGAGGAATTGTTATTCAGGGCTGGTCCCGGCACTCAAACCTCGCTCTTTCCTGAGCAGGAGGGAGAAAGGAGACGGAGCTGAGTCACCCTGTGGCTTTGGGTACGAGTTAACTTCACGGCACCAAAACACCAAAGCGCAGCTCGCCTTGTTGGTGTAAACCACTTTAAAAAATATGGGTATTTGGGGAGAAATATCAATCTCTATTTAACAGCACTTTGGCTTATTAAAATGGAAATAGCTTTGCAAATGTAAATCTCCTTATGCTCCCTAATGCCTTTTGTTTCGGTTCTGCGCTCTCTTGCAGCTGGCGGAGGGACGTGGGCTAATTGGTTGCTTTTGGATTTCTAATGGCTCCCCAGCTGGCCTGGCCTCAGCCGCTGCACCATGGTTACCCCAAAATCTTCCCTCAGTGATGAAGAGCTTTGTGACACTCAGTGAAAACATTTTTAGTCATTCCAGGCCAAAATATTCCCCAGCACTACGCAGACTGCGTCTGGTGCCTCCATCAGTCAGTAGTTCTCTCGCGACGCTGGCTCACGCAGTCCCCGCTGCTGGATGGAGTCCTGGGCGGTTTTATTCCATTGACAGGGGAGCAGCTTTGTTTATTCAGCCGATCCATCCTCTGGCGCGTCCCTTTGCTCTGGGGTTTTGGCGATGATTCGCAAGGTTTTCTTTTTTTCCCCCTGCAGCAGGGCTGTCCGCTCTCCCAGACGCCCCGAGTTTATCCCAGCCGGTTTACCCAAACTCCGGGGTTTCTCCCCAGCTGCCAAGGTGCGGGACTGGGCAAGGCCAGGGAGCTGGGCTACATGTGCTGCAGCCGGGGGAGGCTGCTCTGGGGTTTGGGGGGGATGCTGTTGTGAGAGACGGTGGGTGTGGGATGGGGCTGACTGGAAGCGTGCGCCTTCACCCCGTCAGACCGCAGCCTGTGCCCCCCACCACCCCACAGAGCCCTCCCCGGCAGCGCGGCCGGCTTTGGGGCTGCTCATCACCCCACGACACAGCCTGCCCAGAGCAGAGCCCTGGCAGCCCCGGTCTCAGGGGACCTGGCTACTCGTTCTGTTTTCTTTTGCCTTTTTAAGTGCCACAAGAGTTCGGCAAGTAAGAGTTTAGTTCGGTTTCAAAAGAGCTGGTTTGGGGATGTGCCGGGGCTGTGCAAGGGTGACTCCGTGCAGCGGGCACTGGCGAAGGCAAGCGCAGGCAGGGCGGGCAGCGCTGGCTCATCTCATGGCACCATGAGGAGCTGGACGGATCCCCCTTTGCTGTTACAGACGGTGGCTCCTCACCTCCGTGCTGGGATGGGGAAGGAGCCGAGCTCGGTGGTGCCAGGCACCCAGGAGGCGGTGGGCACCCGGCCGGCCTCGGTGCCTGGGAGCGGGCGGCTGTGCCGGGGTCCCACGGGACCAAGGCGGAGAGGGGAGCTGGGCTTTACCCTGCAGCGGGGCTTTTCCAGAGCAAGGTCTCCCATCTCTCTTAGGAATTGTGCAAAGACCAAGTGTGAGACCACCGGTGGTCCAACGGCAGAAAGCCTGGCAGGGGAATGCACTTGCCGATCGGGGCACCAAGAAGGGACTTGGTCTCCCTCTGCTCTGCCCAGGCCCCATGGCTTCTCCTGCCAAGCCCAAGGGCAGGAGATTCCTGTGAGGAGACATGGAGAAAAAGTCAAGAATTAACCAAAGCGTGACTGCAAAGTGCTTTAGCTAAAGCGCATTAAAGCTAATTAAGCTGAATTAACCAAGGCCACTTTGTCTCTGTATGGGCTCCCAGGCCAGGGATTAGTCTGAAACTAACGCCCACCTTCAGCTAATCCCACCTGATTTCCCGGATGCCCGTGCAGGAGCACGGGGATGACGGTGAGCCGTGGCTGCCAAAGGTGCAGGACCTGGCGGCTGCCCCGGCTGCCAGGAGGATGCTCATCCCTGTGGCAGCTGCCTGCGGTGCTGGGGTCCGTCCACCGCTAAATCTGGAGCCCAGCCCCAGGTGACAGGCTCGGCTTTGCCGTAGGCTGCAGCCGGTGGCAGAGCTAGGGGCTCCTTGGTACCCGGCAGCTGGCAGAGGTAGCACACACCACGCTCTGCAGGAGGAAGAGGAGGAGAGATGTCCCGCTGCAGAGTGGCAGATCCCCAGCTGGCCAGGCTGGGCTTGACCCTGCACCGTGCAGAAACCTGCATCTCTCCCACAGCAGCACCATTTCCAGCAGAAAAGGTGCCATTTGCCCACCCGCCCCAGCCTGATTTGTTGTTTATTGGAGCCTGTCCTGCAGAAATACCCCCCAAGGAGTTGGAGAAGCCTCTGTCTTTCCCACTCGCTAATGGGCTCCTTTTGGCAGCCATGTCCGTAGTCACCCCCGCGCTGGCTGTAATGCAGCTGGGATTTAACGGGAGCCATCTGATGCCTTCCCTCCATGTACCCGCTGCGCCAGCCGGGTCTGCGCAGCCGACGTCTCCGGCAAAGCTGGGAGAGCAAACTTAGAGCCACCAGTTTGTGCGTGGCACAAAACCAGCATCCTCGCCCCGGTCTGGAAGCGGCGCAGGGGAGGGGGCTGTAACCCGGCAGAGTGCTTCCCAGAAAACGCTCAGAGGACTAATTTTGAGTTCGGCGAATTCAGCGATGAGTCTGAACCAAAACACCCCATCCATCTTCAGATGTTTGTCCTTCCTCCCATCCGCTGCATTCCTACAGCCAGCCGCTGAGCCCAGCACATCCCCACGCTCCTCGTCTGGCTCGGCTTAACCCCTTGGCTGCTGCGGCTCCTCCGCCTCCGCACGGCCAGCGTTCCCGAGCGGGGCGGCAGGCTGCGCTTGGGGCTCATCTCGGACTTCTTAAACCACAGCCCAACGCTGGGAACCGGACCCGGCCGTGCTCGTGCTCGCCGGCTGCGCGGTGCTTGGTGTGCTCTACACCCGGTTCCTCCCCAGTTTCCAGCCCAGGACGGTTTGGAGCCCCCCGAGCTCAGCAGCGTCGCCAGCGTGGGCGTACCAGGGACCCGGCAGAGACGCGGTGCGGCGGTGCAGCGTGGGATGGTGGGCACAGGCTCCGTGGGGGGGTGACGGCGTCCCTTTGCGGGGCCGCTCTCCCCACCAGCGACGCTTTCCTCCCGCAGGACGCCGGGTCGCTGGACGCGGCGGTGCAGAGTGCCCTCCAGGCCCTCTACCCCCCCTTCGAAGCCACGGCCCCCACCGTCCTGGGCCAGGTGTTTCGGCTGCTGGAGACCAGCTACCGGGGAGATGGGCTCTGCTGCCTGCTCCAGTTCCTCATCCCGGCCAAGCGCCTCTTCGAGCACGTGCGGCAGGCAGCCTGCGTAAGCCTGCATGCCCCCCCACGCCGCGGTGCCCCTGCTCCCCGCTCCTGGCCACGGGGGATTTGCCCTATAGCGGGACACCCTGCACGGCCGTGCCCTGCGCTGTCCCCTTCCCTTCCCCGCAGAGGGGACCGTGGTGTGCCCAGCTCCCCGGGACGTCTCCGGCACAGAGCCCGGCACATGCCGTCCCCGCGATAAGGGTGGAGGAGGGACTCCAGGGTCACCTTATCTCGCCCCTGGAGAGGCTCCAGCGGGGATTTCCCCTCTGTTGGCACGTGGGGAGCATGCGGCACCCTGGGAATGGCCACGGGCTCGGGGTGGGCTTGCGGGGCCGTGCTGTGGCTCGGCTCAGGGACATCCCATCAGGTCACCGGGCTCTTCGGTCCCCACCGCGGGAAGCGCAGAGCCCGGCAGCGAGACCGCGCGGGGCTGGCCAGGAGGGTACGGAGCCGGCAGGGGCTCTCGCTCACGTGCTGTGTTCTTCCTCCCTCCTAGGCTCCCTACTTTAACTGCATCTTTCTCCATGAAGGCTGGCCCTTGTGTCTTCACGAGAAAGTGGTCGTCCACCTCGCGCCGCTCAACCCCCTCCTGCTGCGCCCCGGGGACTTCTACCTGCAAGCGGAGCCCTGCGAGGAGCACTCGGCGCGCATCACCGTCAAGCACCTCTCCCACGACCTGCGCACGGTGGAGGAGACGCCGGTCCCCGAGGCCGCCTACGCGCTGCTCTTCACCAACGAGTGGCTGGAGGAGATCAATGGCGACCGGGCCAGAACCCCCCTGCACACCTGCCTGGTGGCCACCGAGAACGGCATCGCCCCGCTGCCGTGGAGCAAGATTGCCACGCCGGAGTTCATCGACAAGCCCAAGGCTGGAGCCGACGGCGTGCCCGCGGGCGCCCGGCACGGCCCCGCTCCTGTAATTGCAGCAGAGCCAGCAGCACCCAGCGCGCCCGTGCACCACGGCGCGGCGGACATCCCAGCGCCCTATGGCAACGTCGTGGGCACCATCCCGGGCTGCAAGGTCACCTCTCGGAAGTCAAGCCAGGGAAGATACCCGGGACTGATCAAGGTGGACCAGGCTGGGCTGCGGAAGAAGCCAGCCGTGCTGGCTGTGCCCAGCCTCTGCGAGATCATCAGCCAGAACCTGGAGGGGGAGTACGTGGACCTGTTGGAGCTGTCCCAGGAGCAGCTGGATCTCCTGGCCAAGTCCCTGCCGCCCGCCCGCCCGGCAGGGCCGATGGGGGCTGGGGCCGAGGCGATGCTCCCCTGGGCGAACGGGGGGCCGGGGGCGGACGCCTGGCCCTGCACGGGGGTGCCAGGCTTGGAGAAGGGTCCCTGCACCCCATGCCTGGGGAGGAAGCTGAGCCGGGAGCCGGGGCCACACAGCCCACGGTGCCGCCACCGTGACTCCTACCTGGCTGCGCTGCAGAACCCGGTGAGCTTCGGCCCCGGGCTGATGGCAGCTATTCTGGAGGAGTCGGACGGCCCCGGCCCCGAGCCGCCCCCCACCACCCCCCCCGAGACTCCCACACAGCATGGGAGGGGGGCTGGCAGCCCCACACTCCTCGCCCGCCGTCCCCGCCGAGCGAGTCCCGGGGTGCCGGCGGAGGCATTGGCACGGCAGGGCGGCCCCCGGCTCCTCGTGGGCTCCAGCCACAAGTTCTCCTTCCTGAAGGGCCCGTGGCTCGGGGCGGCCCCCGGGGATGAAAGAGCCACCAGCCAGCACGAAGGGGCCAGGAAGAAGATGTCTGCCATCTACTCTCCCAGGATGGGCAGAGCCAAGCCAGCCAGCAAAGGTACCGTCCGAGCGGGGCTGCGGTGCCTGCCCGGGCTCTGCGGGAGCTTTTGCATTTCTCTGCCTCTTCGAGCATCACCAGCTCCTCTCTCCTCTGTCCCCGCGGGCAGGTATGGATGCGGCAGCTGCTGCCCCTGCAGAGGAACGGTCCCTGGAAAGCACCAGCTGCAAGAACGGTCCCTCCGTGCCCGGCACCGGCACCCCTGGCCGGGAGCCACCGGCCTGGCAGGACCTGCACGCCGGGCTGCTGCGCTCGGGCATCGTGTGCCTGCCAGGTACTGCTGGCACTGCGGGACCCTCGGGGGGACGTCGGGAGAGGCCTCTGGAGGGAAAATGCCGTGCTGCTGGAGAGGGTATTCTGGAGGAAGGTTTCAGGGCTTTGCTGGAGGCCAGAAAGCCCCCAAGCGGAAAATCTCCTTTCAGCTGGGCAAAAAAAATTAAAAACATAAAAACAAGCAGTCTGCTCTGAGCAGCTGCCCCACTTCCCAGCTGCAGCCAGCCCTCCCACACCATTCCTCCCCAATGAAGCCGTTCAGCTTTTAGCTGCCAAACACTAAACATTTGGCTTCTTCCTTTTCCCAAGAACTGAAAAACAGGGACGAAACCCTTCTTTTTTTCAGGAAAAATGTCCCCAGCAGCTCTGCCCTGGCATTTCCAGGGCCGGCGTTCGTGCCGAGAGCCCTTGGGGGCCGGCGCTGCCCCTCTGGGGGGGCCAGGGGAGGCTGCACTGGGGCAGCCGCTGTACTGCCACAGATGCGCAGTATTAACCCGGGCTGAGCCCCCCGAGCCGAGCCGGGACAGAGCCCCCTCCCGCGCCCCTCAGCAGCCGTTCCTGCTTGGCGAGCAGCAGCGAGGCCGATGGGAGCCCCGGCCCCTCGGCGGGGGGTTGCTCAGGACAGAAGTTTGCAGCCGGCGGGGGGCTGCTGGAGGGGTCACTCGCCCCTTTCCCCGCAGGGAGCTCGGACAGGCTGGGCAGGACCCTGCTCCAGGTGACCACCAGCGGCAGTGCCTGGGGGGCCGCGTGGTGCTCGGCCGCCGAGCTGGCGAGGCTCATCCTCTACCTCTGCTCCCTCCTCAGGTAAGGGCCAGAAGGGCTTGCTGGGGACCCTCCGGCTGCATCCCGGCTCGGGGGTCCCGAGCAGCCCCGGCGCCGAGCCGGGATGGATGCCCAGCATCCCGCACGTGCTGGTTTGGGCACATCCCACACATCCCCACCATGTCCACGGTCCCGCCCGCAGCCATCCCCGAAGACCCTGTGCCACGGCTCTGCCAAAAGCGCCTGTTTCTGAAGGTCTGGCGCTGCCCTCGGCTGGGGCATCCCACAGGGACGAGGCCGTCACCTGCGGCTGCCGGTTCCTGCCTGCCCTCGCCCTGCTGCCCGGGGGTGCGGGGCTGCGGGACGGGGCTTTGAGCGGGTCCTGCCCGAGGGATCCCCACTTTATGTGCCTCTTCTAACTGGTGCAATCTGCCTCCGGCTCACTGTATTTCCCTTTGCTAGGCGAGAAGCGAAGGATGGCGGGCTGACTGTCGTGGTGGATGCCAGGAAGCAGCCGCCTGCTCCCGTCCTCTTCTCAGCCCTCCGCTCTGTCCAGGTACACCGGGGTCTGCGTGCCGGTGCCATGGAGGTGCTGGGGGGGGGTTCCTGCCTGGGAGCGAGTGCTGCCGACCTTTGGGGGTCCCTCAGAGCATCCCCTGCACCCGCTGCGTGATGCAGTTGCCTAGCTGGCAGCAGCTTCTCTGACAGCCCCCTGCGCTGCCATGCCTGGGGCCACGGTTTTTATTTTACTCACAGATTTTACCCGTAAGCGTCACGGTGTGGATTTACCGAGGCAGCTCTTGCCTGCCTGCGGCTGCACCGCAATGCCCTGGTCTAGAAAAACCCATGTCCTTGCTGCTTCCTCCCCCGTGGCCAGTCCTGCCTCCTGACTCCCTGTAGGTCTGGCAGTGCTTCACTGCTGCTTTGTTCCCAAAGTTGCTGATAAATCTCTAATTTTTGAGCACGTCTGCAGTGGCGCAGACCATCCCCCAACAGGGCACAAAGACCCTGTTTCCCCCAGCCCCCAAACTGAGCTCACACCCAGTGCTTGCATCTCTCCAGCTCCTCGAGTGCCAGCTGCGAGGCACTGGTGGTTTGGGACCAAAGGTCCCTTCCCAGCCCCGCAGGATCTGGCCTCGGTCCCGCTATCGCCTGACACTGTGGCGTGCCCCAAACCCCTTCAGCATCCTGCTAGCTGAGCTCACCTGGAAATCAGCTCCGCAGTGACGGTCAATCATCCTGGCAGGGTTTCCATGCCGGTGCCGAGGCAGTGCTGTGGGAGTGCCCTGTGCTGTCCTGGGGGCCGTGGGGTCCTCCATGCCACAGCACCCTTTGCCTCTGTGTGCTCAGGGCTTCAGGTTGGTTGCAGCCTGTCCAATAAATCCTGTGCCGGCCCTGATGCTCCCCTCGCAGAGAAGCGTCACTGGTGCAAGTGAAGGGGTTTGCTCACGAGGCTTTTTCCACGGGTCCTTTCTGCCAGGGAGCCGGTGGTTGGGATGGGGTTATGGCCTGAGCGACCCGTTTCCATTTCCCACGCCAGCAAGCTCGGGAGCCTTTTCCTTTGTAATGAGCTCAGCGGCCTCAGCCGACTCAGGCAACCGAGCCCCCGCATCACCGTGAGTAACCCGAGGTCTGTGCCATGGGGTTTGCCGTGGTGACTCTTCCCTGCCTCCCGCAGAGCATCTCGCCGGGCTGCATCCACACCGTGCTGCTGCTGGCCGAGAAGGAGCTGGTCGCCCACCGCGAGAGGCTGCCCGGGGTGCAGGTGAGCCTGTCCTTGTCCCTGTCCCCGTCCCCTCCTCCTGTCCCCACGTTGTCTCCTGTGGGAAGAGCAGAGCCAGGGTGAAAGGAGCCTCCCACCTCGGGGGACCCTCCGTCCCCTCACCTGGAGACCCCAGTTCCCCTGCTCGGGGACCCTGGGCAGAGCAGCACCTTGCTGGGGCAGGTCCCCCCCCCGTGTTGGGTGCAGGACAGGCAGATGCTGCCCTCGGGCTGGCTGGGCTGCGCAGGCAGGCAAAATCTGCCCCAGGGCAGCCAAGCGCTTTCCCAGTTACCTCCAGCGGCTGGACACAGGCGCTAGGATAATAAATCTAAACTTGAAAGGGTTTATTGTTCTTTTAGTGCTGCTCAGTTTAATTAATGTAATGTGAAATATTAATGAGCTTCATCACCTAGCTTGGCTGTCATGGCAGATTATTGCAGTCCCAGCAATCTCCCGTGCATTCAAACACCGCGGAGCTGGCGGGAGCTGCTCCGAGTGGAGCTGCCGCACGGCGCGCTCAGCCCTGCCGGCATTGGCACGCTGCGCTCCCGGGGCCACTGCACGGCGCCGGTTAACGGGGCAGGGTGCTTAGGGCAGGACTGGGTTGTGCCCCCTGCTCCAGGCTGTCCCTGGGGAGGGACCTGGCACGGTCCCGCAGCGCTGACGAGCTCCACGTGCCCCGCAGGTGGAGACCCTGGCGTCGCTGAAGGCTCTGGGCCGCTACGTCGACAGCTCCCAGCTGACACAGGAGCTGGATGGCACCTTCCCGTACTGCCACGGCGAGTGGGTTCAGTTCTTCCAGGTGTCTGTTATCACGCCGTTAGCCATCGCCTCACCTCCCCGCGGTGCCCCTCCGTCCCCACCGCTGCTTCGTGTCTCACAGACATCCCTGGAAAAGTGACAGGAAAGCCCAGGAGAGGGGAGGGAGAAGGAGAGCCCTGAGCGCAGGAGGGCAACCCCCTCCTGCCTGCTTCTGACTGCTCCTGCCTGTGACTGCCCGTCCACCTCCACGCTCCCTTCCTCCTTGGCTTTAACCTGGTGCCCCACGGTATTCCCTGCTCTGGCCTGGCACTGCTCTTCCTCCTCTTCCTCCTGCTCCTCAGGGGCAGGCTGCCCTCCTGCCCCGCTGCTTGCCCAGCCACCCCGGCCCCACTGACCTGCTGTGTGTCCCACCCGCAGAAATTGCACCCCTTCACAGCCAGCCTCCGGCGGGCATCGGAGCTGCTGCAGAGCTGCATCCAGGAGCTGCGGAGCGCCGACGCGCTGGCAGGGACGCAGGTAACAGGCAGGTCGTAGGGCTTTCCAAAGAGCCCATCTGTAGTCCAGCACACAGTGACATTTCACCCCAGTTCCCCGAAACTCGGTGCAATCGCTCCCAGACCAGCTGCTGCCAGCTGCAGGGCTGTCCCCTTTGCTCATCCCTCAGGGTGCAGCCCCGGAGATGCCAGGCGAGGCCCCAGGTGAGATGCATGTCCGACCCTCTTTCCACAGGATGTGGCCGCGTGCATCGGGAGGCACCAGGAGCTGATGCGGAGGGTGCTGAGCGACCCACAGCTGGTGTGCGTGCAGCGCGAGGGGGGGGCCGTGCTGGCCCGGCTGCGCAGGGAGGCCGCCCGGCTCAGCACCTCGGCCGACGTCAGGTAGGAGGGGGCGGCTTCGCTGGGAGAGGGGTGCCAATGCCGGGGACCCCCGGCCTCCTCCGCTGGCCGACAGAGCCACCTCCGTAGGGATAGCCCAGTCCCCGTGAGAAAAAGCTTCTTTCCAGCACGTCCTGGAGCTGGCACCGTGCTCCCTCCTGCCCTGCAAACTCCCTCCGAGCCTGGAGCTCGCGTCTCGGACAGCCCTGGGCAGGATTTCCCGTCATCCCGGCTGGGGAAGGTGCCAGGGTCCCTCGAGGGTCTCCTGCCCTCGGACCAGGCTCTGGGGCTGCTCAGCGAGCCCTCCAGGCTGGTCTCAGGCAAAGCCACTAGATGGGGCCAAGCCCCGGCGATGCTGCACATGTCCGGCAATGCCGCGCTTGTCCAGCAGTCCATGCATGCATGCAGCACTAATCCCACTGCTCCCTTCTGCTCCCTTCTCTCGGCTGGGCTGGGCTGCACTGACAGCCAACACTTTCCCATCCCGTGTTCCCTGACGTCCAGCTTGCTCCGTGGGATAGGGAGATGTCAGGGCATGTGCAGTGCCAGGGTGCTGCTCCCCTGCAGCGTGCCCGGCATGCAGGGCCTGGAGCCCACTGCATCCCAGGGAGTACCCTCATGTCCCGGCTGGGCTCTGAGGATGCAGGAGGCAGGTGGAGAGGAGGTCTCTTGGTCGGCTCCTGACCCCACGTACCTGCTGGGATCTTGCCAGCCGCAAGTGCTGGGTTGTTGGCCATCCGCTTGCTTGGCTCCTGGCTGCCTGGGTGGGCAAGTGCCAGTGCCGGCTTCCAGGGAGCTGCCCCATCCAGAGGCTCCTGCCCACCAGAGAGCTGCCTCGGCCGGCGTCTTCAGAAGGAGCTGGAGGCTCACGCGGCGGCAGCCGGCACTGACAGCCCCTCTCCTCCCCGACCACCAGGACCAGCATGGAGTCGGCCGAGGGGCTGTACAGCCAGCTGGAGGAAGAGCTTCACAACCTGGTGTCCCAGTCCAACAGCTGCCTGGAGCGCCTGGAGTTCCTCCGAAAGGTCCAGGAGCTCGAGGCTGAGTTCAGCAAGGTCAGTTGGGCATCCTTGGGGTGCCACTCTAGAAGCAGCAAGTTGAAGTTGTCCTCTGCGGTGTTCCCACAGCTGAGCATTTTGGGCACATTTCCTCGGATTTTGATGATGAAGGAAGCCGAGAGAATAACAGGATTGCCTGAGCTTTGATTTTAATTACGGGGTGACTGCGTATCCACGCCTGAGATGGGATGCCCCGGTCGGGGAAGGAAAGGGAGGTGCTGCGGAAGCGCTGCGGCCGGCGGCCAGTCCCGCCTGACCCTCGGCCCCGCTCTTTCTTGCAGCTCGGGTGCTGGCTGGACGGGGAGGCAGCGGCACGACTGCAGGAGATGGGCACCGAGGAGTGGAGCCCCGACAGCTTCCAGGGCTCTGCAGAGCGGTTTAATGAGTTCCTCGTCCAGGCAACAGTATGTTTGAGGGGACTTTCTGTAACATGCATGCCTAGGGTATCGCTGCCAGCAGCGCTGTTAGGTGGCTCCGGCCCCTGCCTGGCACTCCGCAGAAACTGAAAATGCCAAATTGGAAACATTCGAATGTTGTTACGAAGTTCAAAGCAATCAGCCCAAATCCCCCAGGTTTGGATCGAGGCTTCTGAGCAAAACCGGGTGTCCACAGGCTGGCTGGATCAAACTGCAGTTTTGAAGCCCAGCTTTGTTGGGGTCTTTGGGCAGCCCTGTCCTGGCGAGGGGGACGGTTGTGCTGCTCCTCGGTGTGCTTTGGGCTCGGGCTGCTGTTCCCAACCCCTCCTGTGCTCTGTCCTTTGCAGCCCCCTTCCTCCCACAGGGCCGGGCTGCGGAGCCTGGACGTCCCATCAGACAACAGATAATGCGGTGGCAAGGGTTTGTTCCCCCCATACCCCTAGATATGGAGGCCCTTTAGTTACACGCGCTGCAGGGAGGACGAAGCAAGGTGACCCCACTCAGGACAGGACGGTGCATTTTGTGCATTTTGAGCCAAGCCAGGACAGAGCAGACATTTGGAGAATTCCCGTTCTCTTTGTTTCTTCTCGCTGGCCCAGAAACGTTTCCCAGATAGCTTTGACAGCGATGCTGAGTGCTGGCCTGCAGAGAGCCTCACCCTGCACACACGTCCCAGCACAGCAGGTCAGCACCATTCCCCCAGCGCAGAATTCCTGCCGTCCCTGCAGGCTCAGTACCGGCACGGCCTGGCCCTGTGTCAGGAGGCGGCTGAGGTCCGAGACGCGGCTTTCCCCGAGGCAGACCCCTTTCAGGTGGCTGCAGCCCTTTTCCAGACGAAGCTGATGAGCTTCTACAGGCAGGTGGAGCGGCGGCAGGCTGAGCGGGAGCTGCTGCGGGAGCTCAACCAGTTCTCCAGCAAGGTGGGCACGTGGGCTTTCCTCCCGCAGGACCCGGTGCCGGCTGGGCAGCCGTGAAAACAGCCTCTCTTGCCTTCTTTTCTAGATCACGGGGCTGAAGCTGGACTGCAGGCAGTGCTCAGCCCGGGCGAAGCGCGGGGAGGGCCAGGCGCTGCAGTGCCTGCAGAGCTCCTTCCAGAAGCTGTCGGTGGAGTTCGCCCTGGAGAAGCTGCAGGAGATGAAGGCTCAGGTGCGCAGGATGCAGAGCAGCCAAGGGCTGGCAGCCTGGACCGAGGCACGGCACAGGTACCAGGAGACCCGGCAGATCCTGGAGGAGATGCTGGCAGAGCTGCAGGAGGCCTGGGGAGCGCAAGCCGACGGGCAGGGAGACTCCTTCAGCCCCCCCGGCTCAGGGTCTGCAGCCCCTTGCAAGGAAACCCCGGTCTGCGAAGCAACCGCCAGCCCCGAGCCGGCGGTGTCGGGGGGCCGGGGGGCAGCGGAGCAGCTGGAGCCCAGCACCGGGGGGCCAGGACAGCCCCGGGGACCAGGACAGCCCTGGGCCAGCAGCGTTGCTGGCCCCACGGTGGGCACGGAGCCGAGCTCCCCGCAGCCCCGCCGCCAGCAGGGGCCGGAGGGCGACCGTGCCTTTCACCGCCACGTCTCCGCCGATGCCTCCCTCCCAAAATCGCAGAGCGGAGCCTGCCTGGGAGCTGCAGGACACCTCGCTCAGGAGCGCAGCCAGCCCCTTCAGAGGCATTCCTTCACCCTGCCTCCCCGGGCGCATTTTCCAGGTGCTGACCCACTGTGTCCCACCACTGTGCCCCATGGGACTGTCTCAGCCTCCGGCACACACGGTCCACCTGCAGAGAATCGGGCAGAAGCCACCCAGTACTTCCAGGTTTCCAGCCAGAGCAGTTTCTCTTCTGAAGACTCAGACTCGCAGAACTCCACTGAAGAAGCCCCAGCAGCGAGCCTGGCTTTGCCCCGGGACCTCCAGAATCCCAGACCACCTTGCCCCTCTGAAAAGCCCTCCCAGATTGTTTACCTGGAGAACCATCACACCGAGAGTTCAGCTAAAGCAAATGCCAAGTAAAACCAGTCCCTTCTAGTAGGGGCTGTTTCTGTCCAGTTGCGGAAGTCTTGGTCACCAACTGGATGTCCCATGCTCAGAGGTGGGACACTGGGACACATTGTCCAACCCTCGGTCCCAGGATCCTTCAGTTCCCCATACTTAGCACTCACCCCACTGTGGAACGGCAATAACCCCATCACCAGCCTCACGAGGTCTGTTAATAATCTACTAGGTTTGTTGCAATCCTCACCTGAAGTGCATTTATCCCTACAAGTGCCAGGTTTGCCTCAGGACAGCAGTGAGGGTTCCCCGCAGTCAGCAGCCGTGCTCCGAGCATCCCATGAGAGCGCAAACCTGTGCCGAGGTGTTTCTGCCCACCGACCCTGCCGCGCTCCCCTCCTCCGCCAGGCGGTTTTACCGTCCCCCGTGCTGCTGCTGCAGCCCTAGCCAAGCGACAATGACAGGCATTTTGTTCGTGTGCACTCGTTAATGTAGGACTAATGTTATTAATGTTAATAAACCTGAAGAGAAGCGCCCGGCTTGGTCCTCGTGGAGCAGAACGAAAAGCCGCGTCCTGCCCAGAGCCAGGCGCCGGGCTGCTCGCCCAGGCTCCCAGCCGCTGCCCCAGCCCAGTGCCAACGGGCAGCCGGTGCCACCGCGAGAGCCTCCCGTGCCGCCCGCGCGGGCTGTGGCCGCAGCCTGGCTCTCCTGCCCACCGCCAGCATCTCGCTGCCGGTAGGAGGGTCCTGCTCAAACCGCTGCTGGCTCGTCCCTGTTGTGCCCTGACCTGCTGGCCCCTGCTGCCAGGCTGCAGCCATTTGCAGAATGAGTCCCTCTCCCTTTTGTAAGGGTTAAACGCCTCCGTCTCTGGTTCTCGCTCCCATCCTACCTCCTCCCCAGTACGTGGGTGAGGGTGGTGTCATCCTGCCCAGCCTCCCCAGTCGCTGGGAACGCGCTGTCCCAAAGCCTTGGGGATCTGGCTGAGACGGGTGCGACCTCGCCGATAGCTGTCCGAAACAGCCTGGGGTCCCCAGAGATCCCATCCCTGGGGGCATGTCCCACCGAGCCGAGCCGCCTGTTTGGGCACCCGGGAGCGGGCAAAGCCAGGCGGGGGACAGGCTGTCTGGGTCAGGGCGCTGTGCCGCCCACCACCCCAGGCAGTCACATCATGAGCTAATCAAGAGACATCGTAGAAAAAGCACTATCTCACGCAGAGGCCGTTCCAGAAAAACACTCTCTTCCTCCCAGCCACGGCGCGGTCATGGCTCGCGGCCCCACGTGATGCTGTGCCTCGGCAAAGGGCACTTGCCCATCCCAGTGTTTGCAAGCGTCGCTCATACCCCCCCTCAGCCTTGTTTTTTGCCAAATCCCCATGCTGAGTCCCGCTGAGCTCTTTGGAGGCTGCAGTCCCAGCTGCCCCTCACGGCACCACGGTCCTTCTGCCCAGGTCTTTAACGACAGTGTTAACAAAGACCGATCCCAGCCTGCTCCCTAGACGCTGCCCTGGGACCTCCCGCCCATCACTTCTGCTCCCAGTCCTACCCGTTGTCTGTTCTTTCAGTTCTTTTAAACTCCCATCTTATCCCGCTCAAACACTAATTTCCCTAGTAGCACTTCTATCACCGCTTCACTGAAATCCCGCTAGCCAAGGTCCATCCTATTCCTTTTGGCTTAAAAGTAATTATCATAGAGAGACACTGGGGGAGGTCTGCACGATCCATCCTGGGTGAACCCAGCCGGCTTTGCTCCATTCCCCAATTAACACCACATCCTGATTGTCACCAAGGACACCCCAGCCAGGCCACTTTTCCTACCTCTTCATGTTATGATATTTACCCATGCCTAACCATCTGGCCCTCCAGCGAGTTTAAAGGGCTTCAGAAATCCCCTTCTGCAGAGATGATGTAGCAGATAAATCTGGAGAAGGAGCAGACGGATGAGCCCCCTCTGCCCCGACGTCCCCATGAGTGGCCTGGGGCTGGCTCCCCGCGCACCAGCCAGCCGAGCGTGCCTGCTCCCCAGCCCCGCACGCGCGGCTGGTGAAAGCCGTGCCCACCTGGACGTCACCCAGCTCATCATGAGAACCAAAAATCTCTTCTACATCCCAAAGCATTTAAAGCCCAGCCTGACAGTTCCCTCGCTCAATTTTCTGCTCTACCAACAGCTGATTTGTTGTATCATCCCATTACACACTCACCTCTGCAGTGCGCCGAAGCAGCAGCACGCCTTCCAAATTCCTCTTTGGATACCGATTTTTGCCTGTCACTTGACAGAAACCCGTGGCTTCAGAAGTCCTTGTTATCAGCCACGTGCGGCTGAGCTCAGCCTCCTGCCACCAGCACAGCACACACGTCCCACCCTGGGCTTGTGCCGGTGCCTTGACGGGCTGGACACGCCGTCCACGTTACTCATCTCCCTTGGGAAAGGCAGACTGATGTGCGCTGCGCACACCATCGCCGCCGCAGGCACGCCAGCTCCCAGTCAGGGACGCCTCTGCGGGGACCCGTGCGACGGCAAGGCAGCTCCTGGGACCAGCCGGGGTCTGCTGGGGCTAAGCTGCCCAAAACCCGGGCAGCTGCCAGCATCAGCCCACCCAGCATCAGCGGGTGCGGAGGGTCCCCTCTCCGCCACTCCTGCTTTCTTACCGTGTCCAGGAAAGTAGTAAACAAGACAGGTTTTAAAAATGAACCACTGTGTAAATCGAACAAGAACAAGGAAGAGGGATGAGAATATTACTACTGAAATAATATTGCATGGAAGCGTTTGGGTGATGCCATTGTTGCGTATAAACCCCTCGCTGCTACACTGTCACGCGATGTCGCTGGATAAGCATCTTCCATCCACAGCTGAGGCTGCTTTTTATCGCTCTGCAATGCTCCCGGAGTCACAGCACTGCCAGGCTGTGAAGAGACAAAAATGCTAATCAATACTTTTGTCATTTTGGGGATTGATTATTTTAATTAATTCTGGGAGCCGTTCAGCCTGGCTGTGGACAGATAGCTCCTGGTACATAGAGTGGCAGCCGGATTGGGATCTCGTCTATCGCATCATATAATTCAAGAGATGAAATCTCTCTAGCAGCCACAAGTAAAACTTTGTATTGATTCCAAGGTGCTTTGCTTGTTTCTAAGAATAACACCTCCAGTGCCCCAGAAGATGTTTTATGCTTTGCTGTTCCCCTGCACCATCCCCAGTGGTGATACGAGGTCAGAGGCTGAAATGACCCAAATCTGTGAAGGGCAGGAGTGGCAGGGACCGAGCCTTGGGCTTCACGGCCCTATGTCGGGAAGTTGCTTCTCTACTCGACTGGGGCAAGCAATGTCTATTTTAGCTTCCACATTGAAATGAAAGAGGTGCTCAGCATTTTTAATTTATTTTACTTCTGTTTAAATAGCCAGTTTCCTAGGACCCCCTTTGAAAAGGCACTCAAATCTATGTTGCTGTTCTTTATCATCACCACACATGGAGCAAAGTCAGTTTCTGCATCTCAGCATCCCCTAACCTTGCCTGGAGAGATTTTGGCACCCGGGACCAGGCTGTGCAGGGGAGCACCCCCTCACCCCCATCCCTGCTGGCCGTCAGGCTCTGTGGACTCAGACCGTGCCCTGACCAGGACAGCCGGGTCTCAGCTCCGGGACAGGCTGGGAAGGGACAGGCTACCCCAAAGGCTGCGAGGAGCTGGAAGTATATCCAAGAAGACCTGGATGGTTTTTTTTAAAGACTTAGTTTAAGTTTAAGAAATAAACTCAGGCAAAGCAAACGCCTGGTGGCTGGGAGAGAGAGACCAGTCAAGACAGAGAGCAGGAGGCACCACCAGGGTGGATGCTGGGGACCATACCGAGCCCCTCTTCTGCTGCACATCAAGATGGGGGTCAGACACCAGCGAGCTGGGGCAAACCCAGCAAGTTGGGGGCATTTTCTGAATTGCCATTTTTGAGCAGCAGCAACAGCAGCAGCAGTGCGGCAGCAGTGCGGCAGCAGTAATAGCGATGTCTGCAGCGTGGCTTTGAGATTCCTCATATTAACATCCTAATTCCTCAGTAAAATGCTGGGGAGAATCAGGGAAGAAATAATTACTGACATGAATAATAAATGTTCCGTATCTGCAATGCCATTCCTTGCCCGCTCCGAGCGCTTGGCCAGCAGTGTTGGCGGGTCCCTGGGGCCGGGGCCAGGGAGATCCCCAGGCTGGCAGGGACCCCCAAGCTGGGCCAGTGCTGGCCGGTGTTTGCCTTCGCCCAAGCCCACGCTGTGCGGGACTGCCCGAGGTGGCGGGATGCCTGAACCAGCCAGAGTCCCCAGGACGGGAAGGTGCTGCCATCAGTCTGCTTTCCTCTGACCTGGTGGGAAGAGCCTTTTTCTCCCTCCTCCACTGCCTTCCTTGGCTAGGAAAAAGTTGGGACTTTTTAAATTTTAGTTTTTAGGTTAGGGGAATAGCACTTCCCATGGAGAAACAGAATCATCTTCTAAAACAGATGGAATTTAGATTCTTCTGAATAAAGCAAACAATGGCTTTCCTGTTGTTTTTCATTTTCCAAAAGAAAAAAAAAAAAGGATATTTTGCAAGTGCTGAGATTAACTGATAACAGAAGGGAGAATTTCCGGCCCCTCGCTGGAGGGCGAGTTGTTTCCTCAGAGGAGCCCTGCAACTCTCAGCTGCCCTCAGCTCCCACAGCTGGGTGGGCACAGCTGGATTCCTCCTACCAAAAAGTGTTTTTGCAACATTCTGCAAAAATTTTCTTATCTCTGCTGATCCTTCAGCGCGTGATTTATGACTCTGCGTCTGACCAATTAAGCTATAACCTTTCCAGAAAGGCAAGTGCAGGAGTTAATCAATGTCTCTTTCCCACCCATGAAATGGCAAAATCATTAGTCACAGGCTGGCCGGGGATGTCCAGTGAGGCCGGGCTGGCGGGGGTCCGGCAGCGTCAGGACACCACAGCCAGCCCAGCCCGTGGAGGCAAGTTCCTGCAAGGCCCAGAGAAATACTTTTTTCTGAAGGAAAAAAGGTAATAAATGTT